GTATTTAAAATATATAAATATATCATTCAAATGGTTTACTAACTTGTGCATAACCTGAAGGATTTGGTGAATCATTTCCACCAACCACTCGTCTTCTATGTCTACCACGCCCAAGATTTGTAAACATCTACTAATCAAAATATATAAATATATCGTGCAAATAGCTTACTAACTTGTACACCACCTGGAGGATTTAGTAAATCTGTTTCTTCATCTTCAGGTAAAAGAGCTTCTGGAGGTTCAGATGCAATTTTATTTCCTTCTTCAAGTTCAGCTTCTAATTTTGCATCAAAAATTTGATCAACTGTAGTTTCTTCAGCTATATCATCATCTGCTGTCAAATCGACTTCACTATCATCAAACACCCAGTTTGTATCAAATAATGCTTCATGATCATCATCCATCATTCAATATATATCTTAAATCAAAATATATATTATTAAATAATATCAGAAGACTGTTACTCTACTGAAGCTGATGTAACATTCTGTTATTTAGATAGTAATATGTGAAAGAATGTAGAGGTTTTTTCATTCTATACTAAAAGCAAAATTACCCACTATACTATTTGAGGCTTTGGACAATCAAAAAATTAGGTTGACCATCAGTAACGAATAAACGAGTATATTAACACTGATACGAAGAGCAAGATAAGATTTCTTAACAAAAAATTAAATTATTATTCAAGTTTTAGGCACCTTATATCTGTCATCATCAGGAATAACAAGCGAAAAAGAAAAAACTCTATCTGTATAGACAACATATAAAGAGACTTCAAACACCAAATTGATGAAGTTTGCTAAGAAATCTTATCATGTTCTTCATATCAGTGTTATACTCATTTATCTCTCATTTGAATAACCAACCCATAGTCATTTTATATTTGAGACATAGATGTCATTCGATCTTAAGTATTATTTCTATACTTCAGTTTCAATTCAAATGTTTATCCGGGCAGACAAGAAACGAAAGATTTGGCGTTCTTACACGTAAGAATGTTTGCTTTTTACGCCTGGAGAAAAATTCTTTTTTCGTCGAAAGAGTCGAGTAGCTAACAATAAACAGTGTCTTCATCATTTTGTTTTCAAAAACAAAATTTTCTTTTTCGTCGTGTAAAAAGCGCACATTTTTACGGGTAGAAACGCCGTAGTTTTCGTTCCTTGTCTGCCTGAGTAAGACTCTATTTACAATAGAGTTTTCTATATAAAAATATACAAAAACGGAACTAAGAAAACAAATGATATTGACTTAATCTAAACATATCATAATCGTTGTAAACATAGTTTATCATAGAAATTGTTATAATTAAACACTTAAAAAGATATTTATGAAAAAAACACAATGAAAATTATGTCTCATCCAACTTTGTTTGTTGTAAACTTTGAGATAATAAAATCTTTTATTGAGCAATTATTATAAATCGATCGGTAAATTGTTTTTTCGACTAAACAATTCCTAAAACTATGAAAATACTTTTTTCAAAATTCTAAATCATGTAAATTATATGAAATTTTAATAATCATGTAAAATGATCAATTTATCTCGTCTATAATGAAAGATTTTGTTCAAGTAACATTTTTTATTATAAAATCTTTATCTAAATCTATAATATTAGATGAATAATTGTACGACGTATGGTTGATGTTAATTGACCAAGTATTATCATAGATGATGTTGTTGGAACATGACGATAGAATTCTTTTTCAATGAAATCAATTAAAAAAATAAAGATCAGAACGATTCAATGCTGTACGAAATAGTGAACCAGTACGTTTTGAACGAGAAAGTGTGTTCGATGTTGATTCAGATACTGATCGTTCATCATAGTGTGAATTTTTTATAATAGATGACTTCGTAGAATCCATATCAACTTTTGATTGATCTTTAATTCGTTTAAATAATGTAGGAGAATCAAATTTATATGCCGAATGAATAGATGATACTAAATGTCAAGAAACATTATATTTATACATATTTATTTATTCATTTACTATTTCGTTGCTGAGGTACATGATCAAAATTATAGATATTGTTATTAATAATTCTATTTGTTTCACTCGATATAGGTTTTTGCCAAGTAGGATATTTTGTTTCTAAATATTGTGGATGACCAGATTTTAAATGTATTAAATCTTCTATATTCATACGTATTTGAATCAAATTACGTTCTGCTTGTATTATATCATTTAGTAATTGTGAATTACGTTTTTTAGCATGTTGGGATTCTTGATTAAGTTGTGTAAAATACGATTGAATATGATCAATTTGTGGTTGTTGTTTTAATCCTGAATTAATACTCGATAATGATTGTAATTTTTGTTCAAGTTGAATACGCTCTTGTTGACTTTTTAAAATTTTTGAACGTAACTGTATACGCTTTCTATGATAATCCGTTAGCACAGACGACATCTCTTAATTTTTGTTCTCTAACAGGAACGATTACAAGAAGAAAAAAGAAAAGATATAATTTACATATATATATATATATATGATGTCACAAGATAAAAAGTGAAACGATTGCTCACATGCTTACACCTTTCTCTTTTATTATTTTTTTCTTTTTGTTTTCTTTGAGGGTATCAAGAGTAGTCGTTATGCTGCCATAATCCGACAGAGAAAAAAGGAAAAAAAAGAAAAATATATATTTGATTCAATGGATTAAGAAGAAACAAAAAGTCATTCTATTAGCATAATATTGCTAGAATAACTATTCTCATTTAAAGTTAGACTGAAACTGTTATATTTATTTTATCTAAAATGAAGATAAATATTATCTTGCACAACTATTGCGTTGTTATAATGAGACATTTCTGTATTTGTTTGTTGCTTTGTTTTGTTGTTAGAAAAATGAATTAGTCTAATAGCTTTGTTGAGCAAAACAAACATTGAAGTCACTGAAAAAGTTCCATCTTGAGAAAATGGATGAGATTGCCATAGCAACGATATTATAATTATCTTCGACACACATGTTTACCTATTCCGTTCGAATGATTCTTCATATGTGATAATAAAACTAAGATTCCGATTAAACGAAGAATATTGTTTTTATAAATAATGAATGTTTTTACTAAATTATTCAGTAGAGTCATTGGTCGTTTATAAACCTGTATTGTTCTCATTGATACTATATATTTATAGAGGATGTGGGTGTGACTTTACTTTTACCTACACCCACATCCTCACTATAGAAAATATGAATAAAATCATTCAACTTCTTTCTCAGTTGTTAAAATTGGATGTGGGTGTGCATCTTCAGTCAAGACACTCCCACACCCAGATATGTCTTTCATTATCGGATAGTCTATGTAAAAAATGAAAAATGTTCTATTTGATTGACATTTCCCGATTTATTCTAACATCGAAGCGAATACTATATCAATAAATTAGAAGTTCTGAAATAATGAAGAAAAATTGATTATTGATGCATTCGTCGCCACCATCGTCTGAATGTTTCTTGAAATGTTTTTCTGTATAGATCTGAAGGAAGGACAAAGACAACAAAGATAAGCATCGATGGAGTAAATGAAATGAAATAACCCAATAGAAATAGCCAACGATTATTCGATGGATTGACACATTCAGATAACATTGACATAATCACACGAGGCAAGGACAGAATTAGAAGAACAGTCGGACTAATTAATAATTGTTTGTGTTCCTTAAATTGCTCATAAATATGTTCTTTTAGATTTAACCTTTTCTGAGCTGTTGATCGTTGTCGAGCTGATCCAAATATGATGAATAAAGCAGAACAAAGATTGACAATACATGGAGCCACAAGATGAAAAAATAGAATGATTGTATTGTATTGTTGAACAAGGGGAGAATAACGAGTTATACACCATCTAGTGATATGCATTCTGTTTGTCTCTGTCTTCATTTTATATAACTCTCGATATATAGGTTCGTGAATGATTGAACCCATGATACAGAATGGTAAGATAACAATCATCCATCGAGCAATGCGTCGACTTTTTTGTTTATTGAATGCGATTCCTTTGAAAACGAGAATCGCTCTTTCAATGGCTACACACGCATTGAGCCAAGCATCCAAATAAAGACAAAGCTTGAGAAGAGGTTCGATCGATAGACAACCTCCTCGAACAACAGAAAGACGAATCGATAGATCCATCTGAGTGAGAACAACAAACCAAAACTTCACTGTAAACATACTGATCGTAAGAAAAGAAGTAATTGACGATGCCAAGAGATAGATGCCACATCCAGATTTTCGTAGATCTTTATCTTGGAATGTTAGTAAAGACAAAATACTATTAATTAAACCTCCAACAAACATAATCATGGTTAAAGCGATACTGAATTTTATCAGTACTGTTTGATCAGTCAATGTCATGTTCGATCGGATTTCGTCACGCAAAATATCATCAAGAGTGATACCAATACTCTTTTTGTAGAACCGACATTTTTGGCCAATGAAACAACTGGCCAGAATTTGAGCTAAAGAAAGTCACGATTAGCAAGAGATAAGATCAATCTTTCTCAACTTAACAGAACCATGTCGGAGTAAATTTATAAGCAACAATAGTCTATCAAAATCACTTGTCTATACATGATATGTTGTGTCGATATTAGATTTATATATTTCTATTTTCTGTTTAATATCTCATGATGAATTTACTCATTTTTGTAAAGATATTTCTGCATATGAACTCGATAAATTTTCAAAGACTGCAAACTAATAAAATCTCAGATAGTCTGAAATCGCAAGAGAAAAGCTGCATGAGTTTTTACAACTGGTTGAACTCATACAATTTATCTAATCCCGGCTAAGCTACAGTATTAAGACTTGATCTTGTTTGGTTGGAAGAAAACTGTTCGATTGCAAAAGGAGGAATTCCTATGTGATTCAATTTTTGATCAATAATCTTATTGAATTATACAATCTATTTGAGCTTCTGAGATTATTTATTTCTGAATAGTGGAAATGGAGTCCAGTGGGATGTTGTAATTCTCTGCTAACGATTTACAAATAATACAAATTACTTACCGTAACGATTAAGAATGATAGTATTTATACCAGTTGTCAGAATGGAAAAGTTTCCTGTCATATTTGGAGAAGATGTTGTTACCACTAATATGTATTTAGTGTCAGTGTGAAGATAAACGATGAATTTGAAGTCTGGAGAACTACATGCTCGATAATCCTGTGAGAGTAGATTCTCGAAAGGATTCATTGGATTAAAATCATCTTTGTAAATATCACCAAATGTATCTATACTGCTATCATCAAAAATATCTATACTGCTATCATCAAAAATATCCATACTGCTATCACTACTTAAAGCATAGTATCCAGTTTCCACTACATTCATTCGTATAGTTTCATAGTAATAATTTGATTTTCGACAATCTCGAGAATATGTTTGACTATTTGTTGTCAGCTGTAATGAATATTTTGATTTTACAGCATCTGGATATGGTATTTCGATGACTGATGGAGAACCTATGTAATGAAAATAAAAATAACGATCGAGATTTGTGATAGATTTTGATGGTCTGGATGTAAAAAAGAAAATTGAGCATCATAAGTCATCTATTATATACTCTGACTATTGAAAGGTATGTCAAAGCTGAGCCTAGCTTTCTGAAGAGACGACTCTCTGTACTATCACTCTCAATGAAATAGTTAAGTCTTAAATAGAGAGTGCGAATAGAATCTATAAACATTTTTCTGTACTCGAATCCTCGAAAATATGTCATGAATGAGCTTGGAATATTTTCTTTTTTTCGAAAATAAATGATGCCCCAACATTTTAGATAATAAAAATGGTTTATTTATAGTCTAATTCTCCTACTATCGTAATTTATTCAAAAACTAAAGTACGTAAAGATATTGTTTAGATTCATACAAAATAAGAATATGTTTATATTTTTTATCTATGATACATTATATTTAAATATTTGCAGCATTTTCTTATTATAGGAACATTGAGTGATGGGACATGTTGTAATAAAAAGCAAAATTTTTTTCATTTCACGGTCACGAGCAGAAATTCATGCCAATTTGTACATTATTTACATAAGATTGGTGATCGATTGAAAGAAGTCTGTATTCAAGGAAATTAATCTGATCCTATTCACAATATTCTGTTATTTGATAGATTTAATGTAGCTGTTTGTGTAAAGCTTTCTTCTTATAATACAAATGTCATCTTACAAAACAAGTTTTTATGTTTGAATATGCCAAACTCAACTAAGTACTCATGCTAACGCTAACAGATATTCATTTAATAGTTGTAGTGCAAATACTTACTGATATTCTTGAGATCAACATTATTTGGACCGAATACAAAGATCGAGAATGCGCCTGTTATATTAGAACGCCGTGTTGTCACAATCAATATATATGTGATACTAGTCTCAAGTACAAATGTGAATCTAAACTGATGTAATCGGCAGCTTTTATCATAGTTATCCATTCGATTTTCAAATGGACTGAAGGGATTGAAATAATATTTGTGAATAAAGCCGTATAAGCCCATATTGCTTTTGCTAAAGAAAGTGTAAAGACCACTTCTACCAACATTCACTTGTATCGCTTCATAGTAAGAACTTGACCCCCCACAAACAACGAAATACGTTGAACTGTTCGTTGTTAATTCTGATGTATAAACTGTTTGAAGAACTGATGAAATATTCACTAACGAAAAAGAAAATCGATTCAGTTTTGTATAATATGGAAATAAATGCAAAAAATTTGAAATATTGCTTTCTCTCTCAGATACATTTATCGAAAGCGACCGGAAGTGATATGAATCTTTGTCTCTATCGAACAGAAATATCTGTATATCGTTTTGTAGACTGCGTTTATCTAAGATTATTTTCTACCTATGACGGATATGTACAGCTGATTATTTATTAAAATACTATATATACTCACAGATACGATTGAAATGAATATTGCTTCGGCCAGATGCTTGAATTGAAAATTTTCCTGTTATATTCGGAGAAGATGTTGTCATAACGAAATCGTATTTCATATCAGCTTCGAGAACAGCTGTGAGCTGAAATTGACCTTGATTACTAAAGTCTCCACTACGGTTCAGCACATTTTTGGACACATCGAGTGGATTGAAGTTATTTGTGTAGACATAAGCATAAGTGGTTTTCATCTCGCTGTTGATTTGAAAAGTATAATAACCAGTTATAGTGACGTTTATTTGTATCACTTCATAGTACGAATCTAACTCAGAACAATCTTGAAAATAAATTGAACTATTTAGTGTTAACGATGATAAATACACTGATTTCATTAATAATAATGAGGTATCTATTAAATGAAAAAAAAACAATGAGTATTTGTATTTAGAATAAAGAAAACAAATGATTTCATGGATTCTTAGTTTGCTTTTCACTCTGTGTACTAACGAGAGTTGAATCATTTGTTTTAGAGCAGTGCTTTTAATGGAGAAATAAAGAAAAACATCAAATAAAATATCTACTTAGCGTCCTTCCAATAATTGTTCATGTTACCCTTTAAAATCCCCACGTATTTTTCCAAGAGACGTTGTGACAATTACAATAAAGTAATGTTATAAAACCTCGTATACAAAAACGAGTATAATTTTGGACTAAGAGAGTCTGGTAAATCATAGACTTACAAATTTATGACTTCTACATTATCATCTCTATCTTCACACTTTTTTATTTTATAAATATGTAATGCAGAACATTAGTTTTTTTTGTCGATATCAATAACGTAAGCATAACAATAGACTATCTAATAAACTATTTCATAAAGTTCTAGTCAATCTACGAGTATGGCATGACATCATCAAGAAAATTTCGGTTGGAAGTGATACTCGATTCATTGCTAAAATATCTCAAAAGCGACTCTTTAACTATTTTTTATTTTAATAAAGCGTATGTGAATAACTAGGTAAAGATGAAACTTTTTCCTTATTCACGTTTTTGACATTTTTCTATGAAGACACTGATCTACATTTAAATGTCACTCCTTTGTGGTGATCCTGATTCTATTCTCGTTCACTAAACAAAATCATGACCACAAATATAACATAATCGTTCTCTCATCTCGAGAGTAAAGGTGAAATTCTGAATCTCTACGATTGCATCACGAGTTGTAGTTAATAATCGAGCATAGGGTCATTTCTCTTTCTCATGACAGATGTTTTATATCTACGACTTTGAAAGTGCATTGAACAACTATGCGAAACGACTTTTGTTGATTTTAAAACAATTTGTGAAAATTTCTTTATTCTCAAATATGGATTTCGGTGCGAAAAGTTTTTCTTCACGTCAATATTTACTTTCGAAGTGTTTTTAGTTCGATAAAGATTTGATGAATTACGATGAAAACCTTACTTCTCATGAGTGTCTTCCATTTCATAAAATCATTTTGTTCATTATTTTCTACAGTCAACAGCGATAAGTGAGCGCTGATAATGGTGAATCAAAGAAAACTGATAAAGAAAGTTTAACAGAAAGGGCTAAATTCATCTCTGCCTTTCCTGCTAAATACATAGACATTCTAACTTCCATGTATATCATGCAACTAACATGACGATAATATTATCGATTGACGTTTGTAGCAAATTAGAAACAAACATGTTTTTTTTTATGACAGTTGTATAGCAGGGTGAAACTTGATACCTGAATCTAGCTACTCAATAATTCAGTTCAAAATTCATAAGAACTTTCATTTTCATTCTCATCTCCTCTAATAATTTTTCTTTTTAGTTCTCTTAATAAATATTTATTGAAATGATATTAGAGACTATTCAAGCATTCTAAACTTACCACATGATTCTTCGAAATATTGAAATTTTTGAACTCGATGATTTGATTGATCAGTAACAAACATGTTTCCAGAACGATCAAAACTCAAACTAAATGGATCATGCAATTGATTGGATTGTGAACCACTTGCATAACATCCAACTATACATCGAAAACCATTCAAGCTTGAACCAACAATGCGACCATTGCCACTATCTACAATGAATAAATATTTCTCAGCATCCAATATAATTACAGTGGGACACAAAAGTGTAATTGTTGGATATAGTGATGTATATCCAGCTACTGTGATGCCATTTGATTCTCCCGGCTGGAATAACTGAACTCGATCATTTCCACAATCTGCCACATATAAATCTAAATTCACATCGACATAGATTCCACGAGGAAGTCCCAGTTCATTCGAATCTAATCCCCCAATACCTGTTCCAGCAGCAACATAATTGAAAGCTATCACAGCATCATTTAATGATCTTTTCACTACTTGATCAGCACCATTCATTGAACAGTAAAGAGTATCAGTGATATCGACAAATAAACCATAACATGATGAGTTGACATTCATCACTGTAACAAAGGTGTTTGTTTCTGTTATCCATTTCTGCACTCGACCATTCTTGAATCCATCATCAATATAAATATCACCATTCGATGTCACGAAAAGAGAAGTGGGTTTTGTAAAATTACCGCGAATAATCTTTGTTGGATTGACACTCCCTTCATGCCACATTACAATTGTGTTATTTTCTTGATTAGCGACATAGATTGTGTTATTTGTATTCACAAAAATGGCATGAGGATCTTGACCAACAATCGATTGGTTAGCAACAGTAATTCCATTGAAATTCCAAGTGGCTGTTGAACAAAACTTTAGTTGATTAAATGAAAGAGCTAAAAACAAGAAAAACATAAAGAATATTAGAGAAAGACTAAAAGAAATAAAGTTGTTAATTTATTTATTTGTAAAAGAAAAATAAAATTTCTTCAAAGAAATTTTTGATGAAAAAGACATTTAGAAATGTTTATTAACATTGATTTTAGGAATGATTTTTATTAATTTTAACATGAAATGTAAATTGTGATATTGTTAAAAATCTTGTGGAATTTCTGAATAAACTGTAGCAAAGAAAATAGCTGAATAAAAGGAATCATTTATTAATCAAATATTTTTCTTTACAATTTTAAATGCTTCATTCGTCTTTCGAAAGTCAATTTTAATTATCAAGCTGGTTTTTTTGAATATAATTGTGCAGATATGTTATTGCAGATCTTTTCTTTGAAATATTTATTCAAACACAAATTTCAGTTTTCAAACATTTATTCAATGTTTCTAAAATTTTCTTTTGACAGAAATTTAAAGTCAAATCAGAGATGAAGTTAGAGAAAAACCATAAATATTACTATGTTATCTCAGTTATCTCTATTACTGGAAATATCACTCGATTTATTTTACTAAATTTCATTAGAAAATAAAAAAAAATTATATCACTACACGTCATATCGATACTGAATGAAAATGAGAAAAAATACGATTTATTATGATCCGCAAAAATTCTTCTTTTCTCTCTATAGATGTTCTTCATATACATTCTTGCTCAAAGAGTTTTTCTTTGAAAGAATTTCAAAGATTCATTAAAAATCATAATATTTCGTCTTTGTTTAATATAAATAAAACAAATCTTTTTTTGTAATCTTAATAGTATTTTACAAATTTCAACGTTTTTCATATGAAATAAAGAACAAAACAAGAAAATCTTTATTTTCATGTAAAAAGAATAAATAATTTTCTTAAAACGAAACCAATCATTAACTAAACATCTTCAAGAAAAAAATTAATATTTGTACAACTAAAAAGCTTCTTATCAATCGGATAAACTGTTTCTCATTGAAGTTAAGAAATGTAAACAAAACTCTCTTAATTGACTAATGTAAAATTTTCATTTAAGAACAATCTAGAATAGATTTGATTGAAAATCAATTTTTCTTATTGATCATTTTAAATAAATAAATTTGATTAAACAAATAAATATTTTTGTTATAAATTCAGTTCAAGAGATTTTATTTCTTTTATCAAATAAACAACTTTTTTCTTCTATATAAAATATTCTTTGTTTACAATTATAGAAATAATAACATATATATGACATTACAAAAATTGTCTTGAATTATTCAATATTACTCCCTGCAATCAAATATTATGATAAGTATCGAAAAAACATATAATTAATCCATCATTGCTTTATGGAAGATTCATTTTGTAATGTTTCATATTGAAAGTTATTTCTCTTAATGAGAAACAATAATTAAATTTATTTTTTATATAAAAAAGAAAAAAAATTAGCTATTAGAGTTGTGATATTTTATTTGTCCTATTTTTCTTGAATTAAACATATTGAAATATGAAATATAAAGTTAAATCATAGAATAATTTATATTGAAACTATATTGAAAAAAATATGAAGACATTTCATTTCGATAAAAATTGTTTCATTGATGAAATATTCTTCGAGACATATAAAATGAAACATGAACGGTCTTTCTACCACTTTATTAAGGACACAACTTTTTCTTTCTGTATTTTTTAATCTGAACAAAAGGCGAAGGTTGTTTGCCTTAAACGATTGACATATGACTCTTTTTCATTTGAATATTTCGTTTCCTTACACACATTTTGTTAGACTTTGTTTTAATTAATCTTTCTCAACCACTTTTGTTTTCTTTTGTTTTTATATTGAGATATCTTTATTAACTTCTGTTACTTATCTATTCACATCTCTTCATTTCATTCAACTTTTCTTCAACTTACCAAAAGAATCTTTCATCAATAAAAACTTTTGAATTCGATGATTTGCTGCATCAGCAACAAACATGTTTCCAGAACGATCGAAACTAAAATCAAATGCATAATTCAATTGATTGGATTGTGAACCCAGTCCATAACATCCAACTAAACATCGAAAACCATACATGTCTGAACCGACAATGCGACTATTGCCTACATCAGCAATGAATAAATATTTCTCAGCATCTAATATAATTCCACTGGGACATTCAAGTTTGATTGTTGGATATAGTGATGTACTTCCAGCTACTGTGATACCATTTGATTCTCCTGTTTGAAATAACTGAACCCGACCATTTCCACAATCTGCCACATATAAATCTAAGTTTATATCGACAAAAATTCCAACAGGACCATTGAGTTTATCTGAGTCTGATCCTTCTATACCTGTTCCAGCAGCAACATGATTAGAAGCTATCACAGCATCATTTAATGATCTTTTCACTACTTGATCATCATCAATCATTGAACAGTAAAGAGTATCAGTGATATCGACAAACAAGCCAGAACATGATGAGTTGACATTCATCACCGTGTCAAATGTACTTGTTTCTGCACTCCATTTCTGCACTCGACCATTCTTGTCACTATCATCAATATAAATATCACCATTTGATGTCACGAAAAGAGAAGTGGGTCTTGTAAAATTACCGAAAATAATGTTTGTTGGATTGACACTTTCTTCATGCCATATTACAATTGTGTTATTTTCTTGATTAGCGACATAGATTGTGTTGTTTGTATTCACAAAAATAGCGCAAGGCTCTTCACCAACAATCGATTGATTAGCAAAAGTAATTCCATTAGAATTCCAAATGGGTGTTGGAGAAAACTTTGGCTGATTGAATGAAAGAGCTAAAAACAAAAATAGAAAGAATATTAGACAAGAATTGTAAACGAAATGAAACTGTTAATTTAAGTTTTTTCTTCGATCAGTTCATTGAGATTACTTTTGAAAAGATTTCTATGATTGTTGTTGTATTATCTCGGATGATTTATAAATATCAACCAAGAGAGAACTAAATTCATCGAAGAAGATCAACTTTATTTATTGATTTTTTTTGTTGTAAAAGAAAAATAGTTATGTTTGATCCTTGAAAAAATATGATTCTCATTGAAGATAAAAAAAAATAATCATAGTATTTTTTATATAATGAAAATAATCTGTATGGGATAAATGAATCTACATCTTATCTTAAACCAAAATAATCAAATAGTTTTACAAAAATTTGTTTTCATTTACATTAATCTGTTGCTCTTCTCTTTTTTTTGAATTTTGATTTCATTTGAAAAAGTCAATTCATCCTTTTTTTTGTATTTTATAATGCAATATGATGAAATAGATTTCTTTCCTTTGTCTTGTATCTCTTTCTCGTTTCAAGATCTACAAATAAATTTGATATTAAGAGAAGATTTCAGTAATGTTCACGTTGTCAATCGTTTTAAAACTATCAACCAATATTCCAACTTATAGTTTTAAACTCAAAGTACACTCATTCTTCAAACCCTAAAAAGTCTCACATAACCACTGCAAGAGATCAATACCATCACTTTTCAATATATAATAGAAATTCTTGGCAAATTCTACAATCTATTATTTCACTCTCTTTTGTTCAACTAAAACTCTAACGAATAATGTCATTTTTGTGCAATAGCTAATATTCAGTACGTGATAAATAAAGCGATGTACCTGATGTTTCATTGCTGAGAATGAACAGAAGAATAATGATAAATACGTTCATATTCCTCATCATTCAATAAGATTGTTTCTGATGAATTAGGTAACTAATAAAATAATCTTCTTCTTCTTCTTTTGTCTTCGATAAAAACAAAATGACTCTCAGTGTAGATTTTCTCTCTATTTATATCTCTCTCTTTCTCTCATTCATTTCTTCCAACATAATACGCAAAGAGAAAAAACGAGTGTTCTAGAGAAACTTTTGTCGTAGGTAAGATAAAAAGTTGATTTTAGATCAGGTTAATGAACAAACTTGATCATCTCATTTGATTCTTTTCGAAATTCGAAAAGTCAGAATTAAATTTAAATTCGACATGATCCTTTTCTTTTCTTCTTTTTTGATTTTATAGAAAATCAAAAGATTTTAAGGAAGAAGAACGTGATGAAGAGAAAGAATTGATAAAAATCTGCATTATACATCGGACGTGTTTTAACTGAAAATAAGATATCAATTATCATCGTCAATACATGATTGACGTCAATGAATAAGTCATGAATACTTTGATTTTATTTTGTCTGGCTCTGTTAAACAATCTGCTTTGTCAGGACTCACTTTTAATCACGTTCTTTATTTCCCTATGCGCAATAAGTAATTTTATGAAAAGCTACCCTCTTTCAGTATTTCGATCTGTTTTTCAAAGAGACATGAAAAAGATGCATAAATTCAACTCGAAGTTTTATATATGCAAAAGTAAAGCTTTCAAAATAACATATATGATTGAAATTGATAGGTAAGGGTGTGGATGAAAGATGACCACAGTTTCCAAATCTTTGCTCATGCCCAAATATTCACACCCCTCATTATATACAAAACATTGTTAACTAATTGAAAAATATTTATCTTATAAAATAATTGAAAATCAACAACGCTTGATATTTCAAAGAATTTATTACTATGTTAAGATGTTTTATCACAAAAGTCAAAATACATAACAATTACTGGCATACACACACACAAAATATAGATATATTAAATATATTATAAAAAAAAATAGAGAAAGACTAGGCATTTGATTTTGTATTGGACTAATGATTATTAGAAGATTTTTGTTGTTTTTCATTTATTTTTTTATTTGCTAAATCATTTAATTCGTTCCAAAAATTAACTAAACGATTATTATCATTAGCACAAAATGCTCGAAAATCAGCTAACATAATATCTTGATATTTTTCTTCACCTGTTTGAGAACTTCGCCATCTTTTTCCTAAACAAAAATTCCAACACCAATAAAATCCATAATCAAGTGGAGATAATTCATCATCAGAAGTCATTCCTGTTGATACAACACGTGTTGGTGGATTATTATAATGAACATTATAAACATTTGATATTATATAAACTAACATACCACCACTAATATGAACATAATAAATCTTTTCATTCTTATAACTTACACAAGCATTTAAAATAAAACCATAACTAGAAAATATTTTTATTCAAAAATAAATAGAAAATAAATTAAATTTTAACAAACCGTTTTAAAATAAATTCTTGAAAGATATTTATTCGAAGAATTTGATCTTCATCAGGAAGATTAGCAAGTTTATCACGAAGACATAACGAATTTATTTTTATATAAATTGAACCTAAATAATCGAGAAGTATGATGATTAATTAGATAAAATAAAAATACCTCGAAGTGCATCAAATTCAGCAAATGGATCACATGGAATTGGTACAAGATTAAATATAAATTGATTTGAACCAGGTATTGTTTCTCGACGTTGTGCCCATTGTGTAATTAAATCTCGAAGTAGACATGATGTAGCTACAAGCCATCGAATTTCAAGTTCAAATAAACAATGTGGATTATAAAATGAATGATAATGTGCTGTTGCCCATTCACGTCTATCTGATATATGTTTTGGATCAACATCAACATTACAATCACGTTTGAGAACAATTGATGACTTTTGTAAATCTTGATTTTGTGAATCATCAATTAATTTTGGTAATAAACGCATTGGTTTACATTCACCAAAACTTAAATAATCCATTGATGGAATATATGTTTGAGTTTGATGAAATTCAACTTCAACATAATCATTTAAATCAAGAGAAACTAAAATATAAATAATAAAAAATTTCAGAAAAACAAAAATATATATTTACAAGTTTGTGTTCTTTCTGTTACAATATAATAAAGGAAAAATCCAAAATGAAAACTTGTTGCTCTATTTGTAAAATGTCGAATATGTCCTTTAGTAAATAAAAACTAAAAATAAAAAAAAATTAGAATTTCATTTTCTTTTTTTTTCTGCGAAAAATTTACTTGAAATAAATTTAAAGCTGTTTGTTCATTTTCTATATCTTCACAATGTTCAATTGACCACCAAATAGCTTCGATTGCAATGAAAGTATGTTCTGGTAATACAGAATCTTTAACAAATAATAAGCCTTGTTGATCATCTCGAAATAAACTCAATAAATTATTTATTGCATCTTTATCACCAGACATTATTTCAGCTAATTTAAATGTTTTAACTGGAATTCTAAAAATAAAAAGATTAAATAAAAGAACATAAAATTATCTTACAAAGTTTTTCCTTGATGTTTAGGAGAATCAGTTCGTTTTTCACCTTTTAATAGATGAAGAGGCTAAAATAGAAGAAACAAAGTTTTTCTTTTTTCTAATAAAATTTTATTATATTTTACTCGATTTATACATCTAGGTGATTCAGTCGATACTCGATTAAGTTTATTAAGCATAAATAAAAATCGAATAAAATGTTCAACATAAAGAAAAAAGTCTCCAGGTGTCATTTCTTCACGACTATCAGGTTTTGTTTGGCCAGATTCAATATTTCGAATTGTATAATCTCTTGATGCAGGCATAAGAACAAGACGTGTATGCCAAAATTTTGTTACCTAAAAATAAATAAAAATGAGAAATAAGAATTCTATGTGATACATACATGGGATAATCTATGATCACCTATACCATGATTTCCAACAACATTATCGACTAAATTCCATGGAAATGATTCTAAACTATCAAGTTGTAATTTATAATATGCTAAATCATAAACTGAAGAATCTGGACATTGAAAACGATATTTATACATAACAGATTTAGGTTGAAAACCATATCTTAAGAAATGAAATTGAATTAGAAGAATATTTAACTTTATTTTACTAACCGAGGTTTATATTCTTGTACATAAATAACAACTGTATCTTGTGACTGATTTTCTTTTGTTACAAGACTTAATGTATGATATATTTTACCAATATTTAATAAATGATTATATTCAGTTTCTTTTAAACCAGCTTGTCGAATTGAAATCATCATTTTTTGATAAAAATCTCCAGGTATTTCAACAATCATTTGAAAACCCTAAATTTGTCAGTGTTAAAAAAACAAAAAAACAATTTTTTTTGAATATCTCACTTGTGATAATCTTTGATCAATTAATTCATCAAAAGTTATTCTTTGACGTTCCAAATTATCACGATTAATACTCCCATTAGACATCTGTTTTTTCTTTCGATCATGTTCATTTTGTGGTGGTAAAGCATGAATTAATGTATATGAATTAAGTGTATAATCAAACTTTAATTCTTCAGCAGATGGTACAACATCAGATGTTATTGGAAGAGATGCTGGAATAGTTAATGATTTCCAATCAATACTAGTAATCATCGATGCACTCCATGGTTCAACACCAGTCGGGCCCCAAATAATTGTTTCTTGTTTTTCTTCTAAAATAAATTTTCTTTGTTCAAAAACAATACTTAAAATATTTAATTAACTAACTTTTAGAAGTCGATGATTTAGTTGAACTATCAACATTAGATTTTTTATGAGTTGTATTTTCTGTTTGACGTAAATGATGAAAATGCCATGGTATTTTATTTGGACCGATTGGAAATGTATGTGCCCATCGACGTCGTCCTGGTCCCATTGGTATTCGAATACTAGCAGGTGCAAATGGATTTGTTAATGCTTTTGGTCGTGTCTGTAAACGAGTAAATGAATTTGATGCTAAAAAATATGAATCGGCACTTTGTGATAAACCACGAGATGAACTATTAGATGGATTATAATATAAAACTTGTGATGATTGATTAGATGTATAATGAAATGAAGTATTGTCCATAATACTAGATGATGTTCCAGCGTGAGATGTAGAAAGACCAATATCGTCTTTTATATTTGTATTAAAATTATGAATATCATCATGGAATTCAGATATTATATGAGTATTATTATTAACAATTACCATTCCATTTTGTTCTTGTAAACCATCGTCTTCTTCTCCACTCGAAGGAGGATCTATAATAGAATCTATAATATTATTAATTAAATCATCTTATACTGACATTGTAGAGTAACATGTCGTTTTCGTGGTACTCGAATTTCAGGTTTAGTTGGTTTATCTGAATAGTTATCTTTTGATAAACTATGAATAAAAAAGAGAATAATTTAGATTTTATTGTTATATTATCTTGTATTTACGGTTTCTTCTGTGTTCGAAATACTTGAGCATCATATTCTTCCATTGATAAATGTAATGGTTTCATGAACGATTCTTCTGCAACTGAATTCATAACATTTTTAACCTCTATATTAAAAAATTTCTTAGAAAAATATTTTTATCTATTTCTCTTTTACCTAACATTCCATGTTGAATTCGATTTGTGTCAAATCGTAAACGTGGAACATAACGTTGAAAAAAGGATGGTGTTCTTGAATTACGATAATAACTAGAAGAAGAAGTAGAAGAAGAAAATGTTAGAAATATTTTTATATAAACCTTAAATTTATCCAATGTGGTATTTGATAATCATCAGCTATATTTGGATTCTCTTTAAAAAATTTAAAAAGTGGTACAGCAAATAAAGGTTGTTCACCTAAACAAACAAGATCACTTCCAATACCATTATCTAATACACGTTGTTTAGTCATATTTGCTAATTCACGTTCAACTTCAAATACACCACTACCAGGTGTTATAACTAAAGACATTTGCCCAAAACGATCAAATGGTCGATCAATAAATTGACGTTCAAAAACTAACAGAAATTTTTTATTATTATTCAGTAATATAAATCAATACAAACCACTCGATGATAAATTTAATGTTTCAAGATAATTTCCATCAGCTGCACATGAAATTGTTCCATTAAGCATTTTTTCAGCTTCAAAATTTGGTAATTTCTTTTTATGATAAGTAAGAAGATCTTCTTTATAATTAACAAGTACTTGTTTTATTTTTGCTAAACGAGGTAACCAATCATCATAACGTTCATTTTGATAGATTACACTAAATAAATTAGAAGTATGAGTATCATAGTCATTATGAGTAAAATATTTTACCGATAGAAATCTTCATAAAATCTTCCGCGATGATCTGTATTTATATTTTCACGTAAACTTGTTGGAAAATCTTCTAAAGACTTTGCATCATAAAAAACTCTTGAAAATAATGTCATTGTTACATCATGTTGACAACTCATTGACTTAAATAAAAAAAAATAATTACATATTATATTTGTAGATTTTCTTTTACCTTCCATCGAGTAAATAAATCAAAAAGAAATCCATCAACAGCTTTTTCATAATATGTATCACCATGATGATCAAAATCCCACATTTCTTTTGACATTTGTAAAAATATTGTACAACAAGCGCTTAACGAACGAAATACAATCTAATAACAAAATTAATATTGAATTTTAATATTCATAAAATAAAAGTTACTTTAGTATCTTTTGTTATATAACCAGAAGATACACGATATGGTGCTGCATCAACCCATAAACCATAAACTGTAGTACTAGAAAAATAATTTTTCATTATTATTTTAATACAAAAAGAAAAAAAATGACTCTTTTTTTTTACCGCATGCCAAATATTTCTAATGATTTTTTTAAATAAACTGTTGTATTACTCTTAATTATAAAAGAAAATCATTAATTACATCTTTATTTGTCAAAGAAAAAGGATATTTACTAATTTTCGAGTAAATCTCCACATATCACCTCGACTTAAATACTGTTCTTTAACTTGTAATTCGACTAAATAAAGTGCAAATTTCTAAAATCAAACAAAAAGAAAATATTTCTAATGGTTCAATAAATTACCTCTTTAGCCACAACTTTTTCTACTGTAAAATAAGGTGTCGCAAAACTATTCACAGAAAATGTTATTTTAATTGATTCATCGATACGAATTTCTATTAGAAACAAATAATAAAAGTAATAGTTACATTAAAATTCTATTGAATTACCTGGCTTTATAGATGGATCAGTACGTTCTTCATCAACTTGCATAACAAGCATTTGTTCACCATCATCAGTTAAAGTAATAACAAATAGATCACCTTTATGTAAATTTGTTCTATTATTAACAAGTGTTGGTGGCGCACTAGCATCTAAATCTTATAAAATTTCAAGAATATTATTTTTTATATAAAATAAATAAACGAACTTTGGTCACATTTATAAAAACTTAATTTACATTGAAATCTAAAATTAGATTAAAAGATTTAATAGAATAGAAAAATCAAATCAATATTCAGCTATTATATACATACGGTGTTCCCTCAAATACAGATTTTTCTAAGGTTGTATTGCTATTTGATTTACCTGTTGATATCATCGTATAAGGTTAGAAATGAGTATTGTCATGTTGAAGCATAAATATATGTTACATGATAAGAATTGAGAAAAAAAACAATGTGGGAGGATGTGAGTGTGGGTAGAGGTGTAAGCCGATGAATCGATGGACGGCGGCAGTGGCTTGACGGTTTTGGATGATCAGCGGCGGCTAGAAAATTTATAAAAAAAAAATTTTTTTCCAGACTGAAAAATATCTTTCTTGCAATATATTAGTCATACTCTGTTCAAAACAAGTATAGACAACAACTGTTACATTCTTTCATATTGTATGTACAACACAAAATTCAAAAATCAAATTAAAATTAGCAGAGAATTATTAGCAATATTGCAAGTTAAATAAAAATCAATATAAAAGAACGAAAATTTGATTTTCATTGAGACAGATGTCAGCGGCGGCGGTTCAAAAATATATAATACCTACACCCACAGCTTCACAACCACAGCGTTAGTAAGAATACAAAACTCCGAAACAATAATCGTTTTGAAGAACTCAAAGAGTGATTGGGTAATGAGGGTAATTCTTCGCATACAAGTAAGTTGATCCCGTTGTTACAATACCTAAACAATCATTCAGTTCGGCCTCATTTGATCAACAAGCATCGATGCTTTTCAAATTTGCATTTCAATATTTGGATTACTATTCTTAAGTCATTCGATCGTCCACTGTGCTTCATTGACATTTTCCATAGATGATGCATCAAAACTCATGACAAGATAAAAAGAATCGAAAGTTTGAAGAAAAATCCGAAAAAGTAAAAGAATAAACGATAAGATAAGAATTTACCATCATCAACAAGAAAGTAAAATGTATTAAAACACTTATTTTTATGTTTTACAAAACTAGTCAAACGTCGCAATCATACCGCGTCATTGCTTTCTCCTCATTATGCTGTTTTGTTTTAAAGCAACACAGAACAAAAATGGAATCAGAGTATGTTATACTCAGCAGTAAAAGAATTAATGCTTTCGAATAATACAAAATCATTATCAAACGAGAATAAATTTTATTAAAAAAAAAAGAATTCCGACGCCGGGAATCGAACCCGGGCCTCCTGCGTGAAAGGCAGAAATCCTAACCACTAGACCACGTCGGATGGTTATTTATATTACGCCCCAAGCAATATTTTTTATTACTGATTTATCAGCATTGTGTCAGATTGTATTGCTGCTAGAGGTATTGTCAGGAATTTCGATCTGGAAGAGGTCAGCCCCTAAGCTCTCAAAATGCCAAAATGTATAATCGATTTCTTTTGAATGTTTTGCTACGTAAAGAATGTCACTTAGTTCGTATGAGTATAAAAAATTCACACTCATGCGTAAAGAAGGCATTGATATTTTTACTTATAAAACCTAACATTACAGTTCTTATAATTGATTGAAAATGTATCTATTAGTTGTTCGTAATTATATCAAAATTACATTCAGATGTTAGTACTGTCAAGACACTATGGCTTTCCAGGTTCCGAATTTTTGAGAGCGAAATGGGTGTGGGTGTGGGTGTTTTACCCTTCTTTTATTCACAGTAATATCTATAACCACATCTTATTGCTTATCTTCAGTCTGTCGATCAACTTGTTCATCGACTTTAAACCATAGTTTTGTATTTAATGGATACGTTTTAGATCATATATTAATATTTTTACAAAATCAATATGAATAAACAGATTCAATTGCTAATATATCATCATTTATTGACTAATGATAAAAGAAAAAAAATATAGTTATTTAGATATACGCATTGTATCACATGGTAATTGTGTAACTTAGGTAGAATACTTTACTAACGTGAATAATAATGAAACTTTTTCTTGCGTTCTGATGCGAAGTAATAACAGAAAAGACGAACGCAAAGAAAAAACATATGCTGCATTATTTCGATATATATCAGAATAATCTCTGAACTGCTTATCTTAAATTCTTTTCTCTTTTTATCTAGGATCAGAAAAACGTGTTATTTGATTCGTTTGCAACTACAAGTCATTATGAAATTTGAATCAATACCGAACGAGATTTTTATTGAAATTTTTGAATTTCTTAGTATATTTGATATTTTTTATTCATTTAATCAGTTAAATGATCATTTTAATCAACTTATTCGAACAATTCCATTACATCTGAATTTTAAATATATTCAAAAATCAACATTTGATCGATTTTGTAAATTCTTATTAACAATTAGGGGTGTTACTTTATCTTTACTTTATAAAATAAAGATAAAGTGAA